TAATTGGGATGGGAGTGTCAGAGACAGTGCGATTGGCACAGGACAGAGCAGAGTTTAGGGCTGTTGTACATAGGGTCGCTATGAGTCGCAGGTGACTCGACGGCACATAACAACAACAACATTACTGTAATACTGTTTTGGTCCTTTTTAAATTTTCTTTTTAGTGTTTACTTAATATTTTTAGATGCTTAATAGTCACAAGTGCCTCGATGGCACATAACAATTTATTTCTATAATGGGTGTAGGGAACTCCAGTGGCCTAATGTGTAAGGAGTTGCAACTTCCCACTCAAAGGCAGTGCGTTCGAATCTCCTCTCTCCTCTGTGGGAGAAAGATGGACAGTTTCCTCCCATGCTATTTCCAACCTCTGAAAACCTACTGAAGAGTCAGCTACAAGTCTGCCACAACTTGGCTGGCAATCAATTATAAGTTGTCTACAACTTGCTGGCAATGAGAGAGGGATGGTCAGTGCATATGTATTTATGATTGTTAAACTTTCTTGAGTAATTGACCCTTTTCTCTCTAAATAATGCTCTCTTTGTATTTTTGGGGTAGCTTACCACCTCCTTTGTTTAATAATAAGATTGTCACCGAAGCTGTCAATTTCCTGGTATTTGCACGTGGTATTTCCTTCCATCTTTTCTTAGCCAGGCTGTTGGTGCCCTTTGGTTTAAGGTATGCCTGTTGTAAACAGCATGTAGTTGGATTACTTTTAAATCAGTTGTGTTATCCTCTGCTTTGTGAGTGGAGTATTCAGTCTTCATAGTCACATTAATGTCTAATAGAAGTCACAGCTGCATTTTGTTGTTTTTCTCCTGTGTCCTAACCTTTCTTTATGTTTGTGTGTCAGTGTTCCTCATTCTTCTCTTTTTGTTGCTTTATTCTAAGGAGTGTTTTCATTCCCTTCTCTTTCCCTCCTGTATATCTTTATATATCCCTTTTCCTTCATGGTGACCAAGAATATTACATTTAAGAACTTGTATTTCTAACATTCTCAGGAACGTTGGCACCAGTTTACCTTCAGGAGTACCTGAGAAATCCTGTCTCTGTACCATTTCTCTCCCCCTTTTGGTGTTCCCGCTAATGACATCGTTATAGTTCATATGCCCTTGTATGGTAATTTTATCCTTGCCTTTTGAAAGCTTTCTGATTTTTTTCCACTCTTAACCATTTTGGTGGGAAGGAGGGATAAAGCATAAAGATGGGCATTTGTTTTTTAAGTTTAAGAGGGTCTGCAGGCATTGACATAGAGTTGATAAATCCCTCTCTTCTGTGTCGGACTGCCTCTTTGGACCAGCGATCTCAGGCAGAGGATTCTTCTTCTATGATTTGATTAATGTTTGCGTCTCCTTTTGAAGGTCTCCTCTATAATCCAGATATTGGTCGGACCTCTCTTGATTTCTATTCTCACCTCTTCCACGTGCCTTTAAACCCCTGTGCCCTTTGCTTCTGTTTTCCTGAGGAGTTTTCCAAGCACGTTGTCTACAGCACAGATGTGATTTTTCTGCATGTTGACTCCATCTTTGCCTGACGCCAACGGGAATTTCATTTCTTTGCAGCTTTCCCTTGGATTCCTAATATCTCTTTGAATGTGAATGAATCTCCTTTCATTTCAGGGTGCCTCTCCACTTATTGATTTTCATTTCATCATTTACCTCTTCCTCTTGGCTTTTGAAAACAGATGCTATCTTTTTTGGTTGTCTTTGAGAACACAGCGGAGCACAAATGAGGTCCAAAAATGGATAGCCATAAATATGATTTAAATAAGAATTTCTAGTTATTATCCTACCATAGAAATTTTTTAGAGCTAAACTGTGTTGATGATATTGTTAGAGGTTTTGTTTTTATGCTTTTAACCAAAGAGAGGTGTATCTGCCGATGAGATATCCTCCCCAACAGAATGGGTGTAGGAGTTCTTCTGAACCCTCAGCATAATTCCCTACTAATTTATTTATAAAATTTGTATACAAATTTGAACAAATTTCTTTCAATTTTCCTCTTCCCCACCCCTCTAATTGTACAACCCAATGATTAATCCCCTCTTCCCCCTGCACATCCACATCCCTCTGCTTCCAGCCTCTCCCACCCCTCCTGGATCCTTATACTCGTTCTACAATAACTGTGTTATACAATATTTATCCTTGTGGGTCTGAGTTAGTTCACTCACTATATAACACTCTCCAGTCCCTCCCAAGTTAATTTACAAAGTTACCGCTCCTGCGTGCTGCATAGTATTCCATTGTGTAAATATACCATAATTTCTCAGTCCATTCATTTGTGGTTAGACATTTGGGCTGTTTCCTTGTTCTTGATGGTAAATAAGGCTGCCCTCAGCATAATGCTTAATAAATTGAAGTAAAATCTGTATAACATACAACCATGTTAGGAACCCTTCTGAAGGGGTTAAGCATTGAGGTCCTAACTGAGAAGTTGAGTACAAACCTTTCAGGTTGCTTCATAGGAGAAAGACGTGTCATTCTGCTTTCGTCCGGACTCCAGCCTTGGGAATCCCGTAGTGGAGTCCTGCTGTGGTTCAGGGCTGTTAGGAAGCAGGACGGACCCACGGATGTTTTTCCTTGAGTTGAAATCACCGTGTGATGCGTCTCTCGTTTTCGACCTTTTCCATCATCTCTGAAGATGGTCGTATATACATTAAATAATCACCCCATACTCTGGCTTTCCTCTGTAACCTGGTAACTACTCTTCTGCTTTGCATTCCTACTGGTGGTGGTGTTACGCTTCAGAGGCAATGAGAGCACAGGAGGGGGTTTGCCCATCCTCCTCTTGGGGAGCATCTGGTGGATTTGAACCATGTGCCTTTGGGTTGACAGTGCAGCTCTTTACCACTCATTTGCCAGAGCCTCTTTCTATTTCTGTACATTTTCCTGTTCTGGATATTTCATGAAAAAGGAGTCATACCTTCTGTTTAATCTTTTATTACTGGCTAACGATCTGACCTTCTATGTAATCAGGTGATACCTGTTATGTCTGACTTCTTTCACTTTGCATATTTTCAAGATTCTTCTAAGTTGTAGCATACTTCGCTTCTTTTTATGACTAAGCAGTTTCCATTGTGTGCTTAGAACACATTTTGTTTCATGGTTTGCTGTGTTTTGCTCATTCATTGATGAACAGATGAATTGTGTCTATTATTGGCAATAACAATAATAATATAAATAGGGATCACCTAATTAGTAGGTGGCCTAGGGGTAAGTAGTTGAGCTGCTAGCCCGGAGGAACTCGGTTTGAACCCACCGGCTGCTCGGTGGGATAAGGATAGACAGTGCCCTCCGGTGAGACTTCCAGCCTCTGCAAACCCACCGAAGGGTCAGCTATGAGTCATTTCCAATAGGATGACATATATTCCTCCTCCTCTTCCTCCTGATAATGATAAGTAAGGAAGGGAAAACCCACACCCAGTTGATCTTGAGAAAGTTGAAAGCTTGCATGTCATTTCCAGTACAGTAGGTCTTGGGCAGACAGGGGAGGAGACCAGCCAGATACAGCACCATGCCCCTTTCATGGGCAGTGACCATGTACTGTGGGTTCCATTCAGTAATGTCACCAGCCCCCCGAGTGCCCTGGGGAGGGCTGGACAGAGCATCAGAGGGTCCACCCACCGCCCAGCTGGTGCCTCTCCCCTGCGGGCGCCATGATGTTGTTGTTATTAGGTGGGACTGTCTTCTCATCTCTCTCTCCTGATTTTCTTTTCTTTCTTCCCAGGTTGAAAGGATTGTAGACAAGCGGAAGAACAAAAAGGGGAAATGGGAATACCTGATCCGGTGGAAGGGCTACGGGAGCACGGAGGACACGTGGGAGCCGGAGCACCACCTCCTGCACTGTGAGGAGTTCATCGATGAGTTCAATGGGCTGCACGTGTCCAAGGACAAGAGGCCCAAGTCGGGGAAGCAGGCCAGCGCCTCCAAGCTCCTGCGCGACAGCCGTGGGCCGTCGGTGGACAAGCTGGGCCACAGGCCCCCGGAAGCGGGCAAGAGCAAGGGGACCTGCCCCAAGCGGAAGCGGATCACCCCATCTCTCTCCAAGTCCAAGAAGGGCTATTCCAGCAAACACCCCGCGGGCGGCGACAGGGCCACCAAGACTGTGTCTTATAGGACTACGCCCAGCGGTTTGCAGATCATGCCACTGAAAAAGGCCCAGAACGGCATGGAGAATGGGGACGCCGGCTCCGAGAAGGACGAAGGCCACTTCGGAAACGGGTCCCACCAGCCCGGCTTGGATTTGAGCGAGCACGTCAGCGAGCAGGACATGGGCGACTGTGACGTGAACCACACGGCGCTGGCCGAGAACGGGCTCGGTAGGTGACTCTCTCTGTCTCTGGGCTTGGTCCTGGGCCTGGTGACAGGAAAATGATGTGGTACTTAGAAAACTGCATAGGTCCCCTGTCCCTGCCCTCAGAGCCCAGCTAGCCAGTAACTCTCCCTTCATCTCTCTCACCCAGGGCCTGTGGGCTTGGTCCTGTGCCCACACGGGTGACAGACACTTAAGCATGTGGGGAGGCCAAGCCACTGACACACCTGCCAAGCTCTGTAGTGAATCTGAAATTCCTGCCTGTACCACAAGACACCCAGAGTCATGGTAACCTCTCGAGAGGCCACTCTCACCGGAGGGTCAGCTGTTACTCACAAAGTAGTTTCCAAGACCCCTGTCCCCAGGAGGCCAGTACCTCACATGGTAACCCGCACCTCTCAGAAACCACCATGCCCCTGGTCCTGCAGTCCCCGTAGACAGGATCTGGGCTGGGGTCAGCTTCTCCCCTGCCCCACCGCCAACTCTTAGGATCTTGAATAATCCCGGTCAGCCCAGTGGCTAAGCCTGTGGCCAGGACTGGATGCTAACCCCAACTCGTTCAGGCCTTATGTCATTACCTGGGCACCTTCCACAAAGATTCCATTTGTTTGCACCTTCTTTCTCTCCTGAGAGCAACACAGAAGCTTCTGGAATTTCTCACCCTTTCCTAAATTCCTATAGGAAAATTGAGAAAGGAGGAGGCCTTGGTGGAAGTCCTCTGAGACCCCCAGCCTGACCTTTCCCTGTGCCCTTGAGTGACGGGAGCCCTCTGGGTTGGCAGACGTACCAGTCTTGCGCACCCTCATCTCTCAGATCCGTGGCTCCTGAAAGCAGGTGGAGCTGTGAGCTTTAGAATGGCAGGTGTGACCTCTTGTCCAGCAGAGTGGACCATAAGGACCCTGGCTCAGGCCTGGGGTGCTGGGGGCCAGGGGGCCAGGCTGGGGGAGCTCAGGGATGCCCAGGGTGACCGGAAGGACACACAGAGAGGTCCTGGTGTCATCAGAGCCAGGGATGCAGGAAGCAGACTCCTGTGGGGGTGTGACAGCTCAGGGAGGCTTCCCGGGAAATCGATGCAATCTGCTTCCACGAGGTTCCTCTTTCCCCTGAGAGGAGTGTCACCCAAACAGGACGGATTTAGCCGCCGTCGTCCCAGATTGACGCCCGTTTCCGTCTGGGGATTCCTGCTGCTGACATGACTGTACGGGGAGCATATGTCGACACTGTTTGTTTTAGCAAGCCCTCTCTCAGGGAGAAGTGGGCTTGTGTGAACGGGAACTGGCGTCCTCAGCATCCCGGGTTTGATGCTTCGTGGCAGCTGCCAGCCACACACATGGTCCTGGCTCCAGAGCCCCTGGGGCACCCAGGGCACCAGTCCCTGCTCTCCAGCTCAGACCATGCAGCTGCCTGGGGTCAGGGCACCCGTGGGGAAACCCGAGGCTTCAGGGCAGGCTGCAGGGTGGTCCACATGGAGGTTTGTTCCCTGTCTCAGCCAGCTTCCGAAAGTGAGGCTGAGCTGCTGGCGCTTGGCTCTTCATCCTTGGACCCATGATCCGGCAGGGGCCTCAGATGCCCCTGGTCCATGATCCATCAGGGGCTGGTGCCACATGCCCAGGGTAGACCCCAGTCCCTGGTCCATGTTACCATTAGGGGGCTGGTGCCACATGCCCAGGGTAGACCCCAGTCCCTGGTCCATGATCTGTTAGGGGGCTGAGGACACATTCCCAGTGCAGACCCCAGTCCCTTGTCCATGATCCATCAGTAGGCTGGTGCCACATGCCCAGGGCAGACACCAAGCCCTGGTCCATGATCCATTAGGGGGCTGGTGCCACATGTCCAGGGAAGACTCCACGCCATGGTCTGTGATCTATTAGGGGGCTGGTGACACATGCCCAGGGCAGACCCCGGGGTCCTCTGGTGCCCTGGTCTGTGATCCTTCTGGAAGCTTGTGTCACACATCCAGGGCAGACCCCAGGCCTTTCAGACGTCCTAGTCTGTGATCTGTCGGGAGATGGTAGCACTCGTCAGGGCCGACTTAAAGTAAAGGGACAAGCCTGGTGAGGGCAGTCAGCTTAGGGTAGTGGAGTCACGTTTCTAAACTGCAGGAAACACCTGTCCTGTCTCACATGTCACTTCACTCTCCGTGTGTATATTTCAGGGACTTTAATTACACTCATCCTCTTGTTTGATTCCTTATGTGCCATCATCCTTGGAGTTTGCTCTGTGTCGCCCACTTCCTTTTTTTGCCCACCTGCCCCTCTAACCAGTGATACACTTAAGAGTCTCTTAATAGTGAGGGGCCCTGGTGGCTTAGAGCATAATGTATGGGACTGCTGCTAGAAGGTCAGTGGTTCGAATTCACCAGCTACCCAGAGAGTGAGCGATGAGCGGTGTCCCCCCACAGATTACAGCTCCAGAAACCCAACACAAGGTCTCTGTCAGTCAGACTGCCAAGGGGCAGTGGGTTTGGTTTTGGTATTCCTGATTTTAAGGAGCAGTGGTGACTCAGGAGGTTCACTGTTGGACAGCCAACCAGAAGGTGAATGCTTACGCTCACCAGCCTCTCTGAGGGGAGGATGGGGGAGGCTGCTCCTAGAAAAAGTCACAAACAAATATGTCTTGGAGAGGGTGCAGCCAGAGTGCTCTTTGGAGGCAAAGATGTCGGGGCTTCGCCTCACATACTTCAGGCGTGTTGCTAGGAGGGGCTGTTCCGTGGAGAAGGATGTGATGCTCGGAAAGGCACAGGGTCAGAGGAGAGGGAGACCCTTGACCAGGGGAACTGACACGGTGACTGCTGGAGTGGACTCTAGTGTGTCAGAAGTGTGAGGTTGGCACAGGACAGGACAGGGTTCAGATCTGCTGTTCACGGGGTCACTGTAGGCCATTCTCGACATGATGGGCACCTAACAACAACAGAAGCTCTGGGGGGCCGTTATGCTGTGTCCTGTGGGGTCCATATGAGTTGAGAATTCACTTTAACAACAGTGGAGTTCTGGGGTGCACTGTTAAGTGGGATCATGCGGTACTTACCCTTCTGTGCCTGATATAGTTAGGCCCACATGTGCCCAGGCTCACCCCGTCACTGTGTGTGTCAGGGCTCCATGCTCTCTGTGGCTGGCTGGTATTTCGTTGTTGGCATGCTCCATGTGTTCTTTTTTAATAAAAGTTTTACCTTAATTGTGCTTTTTAACAATAGTTTACAGAAAAATTGGATTTTCATTCATTCATTGTTGCACATCTCCCCCATCTCCTCCCCCAGTTTTTTTGTTTGTTTGTTTGTTTGTAAAATACTCATTCATTGGCGAGGTCTGGTGGCCTAGTGGCAAGAAGCTGCACTGCAGTCCCAGAGGTGAGCTGTTTGAATCCACCAGATGCTCTGCTGGAGAAGGAGGGATAATCTCCTCCTGTACCAGTCAGATCTGATTTGACAGTGCACTCAAAAATAATAATAAAAAAAATTTAAATAAATTAAAAAAAATACTCATTCATTGTTGCACTTTTACCTCCCTCTCCCCCCACCCTCTAGTCCTCTTTGCAACGTACCTCTTTTTCTGAGCTGTTGTCATACGCTTAATTCTAATCGTACATTCCTTTTAAACAGTCCTTCCCTTCATCTGTTCCGATGCAGTGTTCATTATCTATCCCTCTTCTCCTGTCCTCCTCCCAACCCCCCACGTCAGTCCTACTGTATGTCAGGTGCTATGTAGTATTTGTCCATTCCTTTGTCAGTGGACCGCTGTTTCTCCAAACCGTCCCCTTCGCCTGACACTGGGTGTGTCCACACTCTGGACTCACTCTTGGCCGGCAGCTGGGAAGCCACGTGCCTCTGTTTTGTGTTTTTTTGAGGTGTCCTTTTGCATCATCCCCATTGAATAACCACACTCGGTGCTGCCTAGTTTATTTCGATTTAGCAGTACCCTGCTTGCTTCCTCATCTGTAGTGAACAATCTCAGATGTTTCCGCCTCGTCAAAGACTCCGCATCTAGGTTTGGCCAGTTTTTGTTTCTCTCTCTTACCCCACAGTGCCTTGCTACAGAATTAGAACCTCTTTTCAATTTGACAGTCCTGGTCCGGGGCAGAGCACTCAGTCAGGAAGGCAAGCGTGAGCTGACCACCCTGTCCCCACATTGGCCGTTTGAATGACGTCCACGTGGACACCACTCACTGCACGTGGACCCCGTGCACAAGCCCTGCGCTCACACCTTGTTTATTGGGTGCTCTGTGTGAGGATTCACCTACGTAAGTCAGGTCCATACTTTGCTTTTATTGAGCCCTTCCTGACACTCAGAGAAGCTGGACTGCAATCCTGAGGGCACTCTGTTTGAATCCACCGGCTGCCCCCCTACAATCAGCTGCTTCTGATTAGAGGGTCTGCTGCATGTTGGTTCTGTCTTGAAGATCTGTAACCACCGCCACTTGAAGAGGAAAGACCCTCAGATGAGGTAGATGGACCCAGTGGGTGCACCAGTGAGCTCAACACAGCTTTTTAATATTTTTTAGATTGTTTTTAAAAATTATTTATTGTGTGTACGGTCAAATCAGATCTAACTGGTACAGGAGGAGATTGCCCCTCCTCCAGTAGAGCATCTGGTGGATTCGAACCGCTCACCTCTGTGATTGCCGTGCAGCTTCTTGCCCCTGTGCTTGGAATGAACTGTTAAAAAGATCGTTAAGTACATATCGATCCTTTGTGGGGGATTGGCTGCTTTTTGTCTCATGCTTTTGTCTCCTGAGGCTGATGCAGGAAGAAGTAGCTTAGATGTAACGTGTATGATGTATCTGAGCCAGGCTTTGCTTTGGTGCCATCTTGGGTCAGTGGTCTGATAAATACATTGGCCACTGTCAACTTCTAACACCCTTCTTAGAACTTAGGGGGCTCTGCTGGCCTAGTAAGGAATTTCATGCCAACCCAAAGCACATGGTTCGAATCCACCGGCTGATCCCAGAAGGAAGAACAATCTCCTCTCGTGTGATTTATTGCCTCTGAAAACCCGTTGGAGGGTCAACTGT